GGGCTGTGTTTTGAATCCAGATTTGGTTGAGTTCTCAGATGCCATGTGGGGAGTTGGGTAAAGTGCCAATATTATCATGCCTTTACTCCCATCCTCCCCTGGGGCTGTGGTGGAGAAGTCTTTATTATGTAAAAGGGACTAGCTTGGCCTTCTTAATGGCGCATTAACAGTGGGGATGGGCAGGAAGCTACAGGCAGCTATTCTGTCTTTTAAAACATGTTTCTTTCTTTTCACATCCAGAGAAACATTCTGCCTTTTCAATATTTCCTAGGATATTTCATTTTTCTGGAAGAGGGCTGGATGATAACTTCCCACAACATAAAAATGAAGTATATGGCTAGAGGGAAGCCCACTTAGCAAGCAGATAGATTTCATATGATTTCTGAACAATCGCACTTAGAAAGTTCATTTTTTGCCACAACGTCTCACGGTGACAGACAGGAAAAGAGATAGCTGCCTACTCTTCATCATTATCAGAGAAAAAAATGGACAGGCCATTTTAAATGCGGTTTAACATATTTCACCCCCTAACTTCACATTACCCTGTGTGCAGAGGCTGTACTTCCCATGTTGTTTGTTTAAATTAGCTAGATAAGGACTGTTATTGGAATCACAGCAGATAAGAAGAGTGGTGTGATGCTTTCCTGTTTATCCATGTTCCAGCCAAACGTATCTCATCATCTGATACTAATAAGAATATTTGCATTAAAAAGCAGTTTGTATTAATTCATTTGTATTAAAACAATAGCCATGGCTAAATGTTGCACATTACATACAAGATATGCTTTGCCTTTCATTTAAATAATTCCTTGATGATACAAGATTGGAAACAGGCAGCCACAATCATAGGAACACATTTATCGATTTTTGGAACGTTCCTTCAATGTCCTCACTGCTTTTAAAATAAACCAGTTTCAGAAAAATCTGGAAAATTAGGATCCATAAAAAATGTTTTTCCCCCTCAACAAAGCTGCATGCTCACATTTCACTAGCTTTTAAAATAAACTGTTTTGTTTATTACTGTGGCCATGACGAAGCCAGGATTAAACGCTGTCAAAAACTACTGATTCAAATAGAATAGGAAACATCTTTAAAGCATTCCCAATTAAACAAAAAAAAAAAACCCAGAATGAAATGGGGATTAACTTTAGCTGGATTGTACTTTCTGCAATGAATTGGAGAATCCTGAGTTTCCTTAAAGTTTTTTTAACGATTCAGTACATATTTAAAGAATTAGGAAACTCCATGTTGAGGAATGCAGAAAACCACTCGAAAGAGCCCCATTTCTCAGGGGACTAATAGAGATTCAGTATGGCTGGATTTTTCCCCCCCTGTAGTATAAAATTCCATGTGGTTCTCTGTTGAAGATGGGCAGTTTATGCCACATGGGAGCCGAAGTCTGACAGAGAAAGAAAGCAGATCTCTCTAGTTGGCGAAGATCATTTATCTCTCTTTGTGAGAATGTTAAAGGCAGTGGTGGGATTCAGCCGGTTCGCACCTATTCGGGAGAACCGGTTGTTAACTTTCTAAGCAGTTCAGAGAACCGGTTGTTGGAAGAAATCTCCTTTTGTTTTTCCCCATTTTGCAGGGCTAATCTTGTAAGGAAGGCAGGAAGGAAACATTCTGGTGTTGTTTCTAGCCTCATTTTTATTTTACCCTGCTTACAGAAACTGCCTTTCCAGCCAGGAGGAATTTTCTGAGGGTAGAAAGAAATATGGGACTAAGAAATTCCAGATAGTTTATGACTGAAGAAACAAGGAATGATATAATCTGTTTAGACTTAGCCTAGCAAAGAGGAGTTAAAGCTCAAATGAAAGATGATTATCTTAGAATATCTTTGTTAAAGATTTATACCCTGTATTGGTTCTGGGAAGCCGGGGGGGGGAGGGAAGGTTTGGGGGTGGGGTTTGGGTGGGGAGGGGAGGGGGGGGGGGGGAAATATTTGTAAGAGTTTTTTTTCCAAAATTTTCAATTAAAAAAA